TTGTCGTCCGCCCCTGTTCTGATGCTCGCGGACGAATCAAAACCCTTCCACGTCGTCTGTGACACGAGTGACTTCGCCATCGGGTGTGCCCTGGTGCAGTTTGATGACGATGGCCGTGAGTAAGTGATAAGCTATCAGTCCCGCCAGCTTAAGTCGGCGGAGCGAAACTATCCAGTACACGACAAAGAGCTCCTCGCCATGCGCTACGCTCTGGTCAAGTTCCGAGTCTACCTGCTCGGAGAACAGACGTTTGCAGTCTACGCTGATCACGCATCGCTGCGAACAGCGATGTATCCCCTCACTTCTCCCAGCGCATGGCTCGCTGGCTGTCCTTCTTCTCTAAGTACAACTTCGTGGTACACCACAAGCCTGGCAAGAATAACATTCTCGCCGACGCTTTGTCTCGGCGCCCAGATTATGATCCCCGCGACGGTTTTGGTCGTCAGACAAGTGACGCGGAAGATGAAGACTTGTGCGCAATGTGTGTGACGTCAGAGTTGAACCTGACGAGCGTTGTTCCCACGATGTCACTTCGAGACGAGATCGCACCCGCATACGAAGTATGCCGGCGTCCTGATTCACCTCCGCGCGCCGAGTGAGGAGACTCTAGAAGCTCTGCCGCGCTGTATCCGCAGTCACATCGAGCGATACCGCCTCGATGGCTCCTTGCTGACGTCCTCCATCGACCGTTTCGATGATATGCGTGTGGTAGTGCCAAATGATGAAGATCTTCGCGCCCGGATCATCCGTGAGTACCATGATGCTCCGACCAGTGGCCACTTGGGACGCGAAAAGACCTTCGCGGCAGTGGCGCGAGACTTCTTCTGGCCTTACCTCTACAAATGGTTGCGCAAATGGGTGCGCACTTGCGAGACCTGCCAGCGCGTGAAACCTTCGCCGTTGTCACAGGCTCCACTGCGTCCTCTTCCGATCCCTACGGAAGTCTGGCGCTCTGTTTCGATGGACTTCGTCTTCGGCCTACAACCCGACGTAAACAGGCGTACTGGTGTTCTCGTGTTTGTCGATCGGTTCAGCAAGATGGTGCATCTCATCCCCGTGACTTCCACGGTCACCGCGGAAGGGTCCGCGGCGCATTTCGTTGATTCCGTCTTCCGTCTCCGTCGTCTGCCCGATTCCATCGTCTCGGAACACGATCCGAGGTTTACGTCCGAAGTTTGGACGGAGTTGTTCAAGTTGCTTGGGATGAAACTTACGATGTCAACCGCAGCCCATCCAGAGAGAGACGGATGGACAGACTGAACATGTCAACCGTGTTGTAGAAGATGTGCTTCGCAGCTACGCGTCGGCGTTCCCGAGCTGGAGTTCCTTCCAGCCCCTAAGCGAGTTTGCGCTGAACAACGCCGAGCACTCGTCGATGGTCCTGACCCCCTTCTTCGTGAACTCCGCGCGACACCCGCGAGTCGTCCCACGGGGAATCATAGCTCTACTCTTGGTGGGGGAGGAGCTGCCACTGAGGACGTACCACGGCCCTCTACCGGCGGAAACAAGTGCAAATGCAGTGACCCGATCCCAAGCGAAGAAGGTTTTTGCTGCACCTCGGAGTGCAGTGACGCCGCTCGCGGACTGGGCAGAGCGCACTTTGATCGATCCCGCTGGCACCCAGCGGATCACCCTCGGCCGGTCGTGTCCGCTACCTATGCGCCGAAGTCTACGGCGAGTCCGGGCGACCGTGCGGCTGTCTCAGAGTTTGTACAGCGGCGCCAGGCGATTACGGGTTTTGTGCGAGATGCACAGCAAGCAGCAGTCGACAAGCAGAAGGAAAATGCAGACAAACACGGGCGCAATAACA